GAACTCCAAAGTAAAATCTTGAATAAATGTTTAAAAAATAAACCCTGAAGACAGAATAGCAATGTTACCAAAAGCTGTCCAGAGTCTCCCGATTTCAAGTCAGGTGAAGAGTAGTTGACAAAAATTAGACACATAGATTGGAATCTATAGAATTAACTTCAGAACTGAGAAGGCTGATATGGTGAGGAACTCATGGCTGCTCCCCCTCTTTTTTTCCCTTGTTGGAATCAGGTAAGGCTGTCTAGTTGGAATGTTTTGAGCCCTTATTGGGCAATATATCCTGTGCCAATTAAATTTAAGATTTAAGGATTTGATCAAACTCCTAAAGAGATGAACCCATACAGATTTTAGGGCATAGTGAAAACTATGGAGTAAGACAATGACTACAATAGCTTTAATATCAAGAGTTTTTTCCCAGAAAATTGCTCACAAATTGCAGTAAGTCTGTCTTAATAAATGACTGGCAGTCCTCAAGACTCTATTGACTGACCTTCTCCAAAATAAAAAGACTTGTGGGGGCCTGTCTTGTAAGTGAAGTTTGCTCCTGCAATCCTGATACTTGTGAAATTTGACCTTTAAGGCAATACGGTTGAAGGCTGGATAGATTATGGAGGAAGACAATGGTTTCTTGAGTAATGATTCTCAAACAATGTTTTCATTTGTTTGATGTCAAGCTAAGGCAATTTTTTAAAAAAATGAAATTAAAAAAGACAAGGCAGTATTTAAAGGAAATCAGAGCTAAGGTAAATATTAATGCTGCTGTAGTTGAAAACAGACTGAAGGGATTTGATATAAGCTATACTTAATCATGTCGTATACATAGAGAGTATGATGTAGCCAAATATTTCAAAGCTCTACATTGCTCTGGATGGAACTTGAGACAAAGAATTTCACAAATTCAGATTGTGAAATACAGAGACCATAATGAAGAATATCTAGGAAAGGTATAATGACTATACAGGTAGTGCTCAACTTACAACCACAGTTGAGCCCAAAATTTATGCTGCTGTGTGAGAAGTTTGTTAAGTGAATTTTGCCTCATTTTACAACTTTTCTCACATTTGTTAAGTGAATTACTGCAGTTCTTAAATTAGTAACACAGTTGTTAAGTGAATGTTTTCCCTATTGACTGCTCACCAGGTGGTCACAAAACAGGATCGCATCACTTTGGGTCACTGCAACCATCACAAATGTGAGTCACTTGTCAGCATCCAAATATAAATCGCATGACGATGGGGATGCTGCAACGTTATTAAGTGTGAAAAATGGTCATAAGTCAAGTTTTTTCAATGCTGCTGTAACTTCAAATGATCATTAAATTAACTGTTGTAGATTGAAGACTACCTGTATCTGTTTTGTTGCTCGATACTTCTGGAAGGGCAAGTTAAAAATCAAATTATTCCAAGATTTATTGCTGCCAGCTGGATTCCGCTTTTTCATTCAAAAAAAGAAAAAAACCCTGTAGCTGGCTTTTGTTTTATTTTATGCAAATGCTTTTTCCTTAAAAAAAAAAAAAGAACCACCAATAGTAAATACAGAATGCTTTATTGAGATAAACCTTTATTACAAAACCACTTTAATTAAAAGATGCAATGTACAGGAACTGATTTGTTAGTGTGCATTTATTATACAGCACATTCATGAAACAATCCAGTCCTGCACAGATTTAGTGTGCCTGTACAAAGACCTTTTACAGTATTTATTAACAGAACTGCTTACTCTGTGTGTGTACAAAAAAAAAAAAGAAAGCTTTAATAGGTCTTTAATAAATGAACCTGCTTAGCTCCCATTGTTGCTATAATATGTAATGCTGAGGACTATGTTTATTTGGAAAGACAAAAAAGAATACTGTAATCTTCTGTGCATCACCTTTGTGTCTGAAATTGACTAATGGCTACAGAAAACGTTCAGCTAATAGGCTTACAAAACTTTCAATGCTGACAAAACATTTTTTCTGTGCATCCATAGTATTTTCTTTAAGGCTGTAGTAATTATAGCAAATGCATAGATTGTAGTGCAATGAAGACATTTTTTATCAATTTAGGCATAATATTATTTCTATGGCTAGGCAAGCATTTTTTTAAAAAAATATTGGTTATGATTTACATTTTTATGAAAGGCTTTTTATGATGATATATACATGCCTGGGAAAATATCCCTATATTATAAAATACAATCCTAAAGCCCACTTGTAACTGCCAAATTAAAGGTATTTTTAGAATAATGTTGTATCAACCATTTGAAGAGCACCTTCTTGTATTGAAGCTCAAAAGAAAGTACTTTTTCAAGTTTCTTATATAAAATAATACTGTTTAAAAATACTTTCACAATAATAAAGAATTGGCATATATAAAAATAAATTTCCACAGTAGAAATATACATATTTTACTGAAACAGCTTGTCACTTCTGGGTTTTTTAAAGTTGCCACACTACCAAAATTATTCTAAACCCCTGAAATTACTATTTATTTTACTTAACACTTAGAACCATGTGTTACTATAAACTTGTATTGTAAAACTACGCTAAGATATAGGTAATATAGGTAATATATATATATATATTGCAAAGCCATGTGTTCTGTTATTTAAGACTAAGGTTTAGTTAGAATGTATTTGTTGAGTACTTTATTAAATGGATTTTTGGGGATATTGAAAGCATAAAGAAAAATTGAAGTGGTAGGTCAAATGATTTATTATTAAACTGAACATTTTTCTGGTTCATAAGGTAAAATTTGGTGTTCATTTTTTTTTCAAATTTCAAAACAGGCCATTTTTCCAGTAACAGGAAGTTTCTGTTTATTCAACATTATAGCACTCTTTTTCTCAAAATATGGAGTTTTAATCATATTGACATATTATTTAAATAAACTATCTCTAAATCCATGGCTAGTATGATTCCACTTTGTATTCTTAAATAAACATTTGAACAAAAATGTAAGTTCCATGTATTAAAATATTATAAATCTAGCCTTTCAAGTAGCATATAGTTGTCTGAATATTAAACATACTCAGGAACTACTGCTTTTTATGGAGAAACATAATAAGAAATAGAACAGTAATAGTTTTGCCCAGGTAGTATTCCAAGCTCTGTGATGTGTGAAGTCTATGAAAAACATTCATATATTTTGACAAGAATTGTGATAATCCGTTATAGAACCAAATTAAAGAAGGCAGTTTTAATACTTTTGGACATAATACATTTAAAACATTTGGGACCTGCTTCTTAATTATTTCTGTTATTATATTTAATGGCATGAAATAAACTTTTGACCAAATATGAAACAAACTTGATGTTTTTACTGTTCTTTTATGTAGAATTAATTCACGTGGGAAATATGTATTATTTTACCTGATAGGCATATCAATAACTGTAACACAATATTTGGAATATAGAATTTCAAGTCTATTGTTTTCCAAGTGCTTCCTTGGATATTCTGAAATATTTTCAGGAAATTAACATTTTTTTATAATCTACAAGGAAAAAAATGGGAACCCAAGCAAAGGATTTAAAATTAACCCTGACTACTTGGATGTTTCATGATAGTAATAAGACCATAATAACAGAACACATGGCCTTTTCATGTCTATTTCTATATTGCTTACGAGAATATTTACAACTGAGCAAATCCTTTCATATATATAAAGCCATTTTAAGAGATGTCAACACCTTTATATATATTTTAAAACCTCTGCAAGTATCAAAACACAAACATTAGTATGGTATTTTCAACAATTCAAAATACTTATATTTGTCATAAAACTACTAGGTCTGTTATCATAAACATTTATACAAAAGGTATAAAATATTTCTCCGGTTGAAGATGCACACCTGTTTATTACTTACAAGAAGTAATTAGTTCTTAGTTACTAGAAAAGCAAGTGTTAGGAGTCTGAATATATACTTAAAAAACTTCAACTATATATTGCATATAGGCATCCAATATAATGTTAAACAGAAAAGGAATTTAAAAATAAATTACTTAAATATTGCTGGCATAACTACCATTGCTTTAAAACAATCCCTTAAAAAGTATTAATAAATAAAACCTTCCAACCAGAAAAATAGTTTTAAAGCTGACTAAACAAATTAAAATATGAAAAATATTTCAGTTAAAATTGGAAAATAATGGAAAAAATTTGACTGTTAATTACAAGAATGGGCTTCCACAGTAATTAAGTGTTTGTTTATTTATTCTGATATATTGTTTGAGAGATTGTAATAAAAACTTTTCTGATCAGTGTAGTGTTGTGTGATATAGTGTAGAGGAATATACTAGACATGATATAGGCAGATATCTTATTTGATTCTGCACTTAAACCGGGGAAATGCTATATCTAAGTGTATGCAGTATTATTTATGCCTGTTGTAATCTCAACATTAAACAAAATACATGTATATGTAAAGTTTAGAATTTTAAGAAAATTATCAGCCACAAAAAACAGAATGTTATGTATATATAAGCTGGCAGTCCTATAGTTTTTAAAAAGGGACTTTGAAAATCTTAAATTATCTTCCAACTTACTGAAATTAACTTCAAGATGTAAAAAAGATTTTTTTAAAAATATATAAAATAAATTGAACTGAAATGGAAAGATTGGAGAAAATGATGTAATTTTGGTATTAACTAGATTTCAGTGAAACTAACAAAAATGTTTTTTGTTGTTTTATTACGTCACCCTTGCAATTTATCAGATGAAGATAAATGCTAGGCTTACCTTACAACATAAAGATGCTGGTTTTAAAATGTATTGTTTAAAACAAGCAATATATGCACAGTGTGCATATTACAAATTGGTTTGTGTCACAATAGTAATATACCAATTGATAACAGTAACCATGATTTTTATCCTGCAGTTTATGTTTACTAACTTTATGTTCATAAGAGCAAGGGTTTTTTAAATACCCTTACACAAGAGAAGAATTTTGCATTCAGCAAATATAAGATGCTATAAAATTACATACCTTTAAGAGTTAACATATTTGGTAGATACCTAACATTTTATTTAACAGAGTCTGTAGAGGAAGAAGTATTGAGCATACTGTCATCTGATCTGTAATCTTTTCTAGGGTGAAAATGAGGAGTTCGTGCATATCGAGGTTTCAAACTCATAGATGAAGGATGAGAAAAATTTCTTCTCACTGAATGTATCCTGGATTCCTAAAAATAATAACAAAACAAAACTCACATTCACAAAAACCACACCGCTTTATTCTGTAATAGTTTAAATAAAAGCATGAAATTCTGCTAAATCTGTTCAATTAAAAAAAAGGAAGTTTCCAAAAGGAAAATGAACATATAGAAATACAGCCTGAAAAGACAGACAATAATTTACAACATGTTGTAAACAATCCCATTAACTAAATTCATTTCTTTACCTTGATAAACTACTAACAAAAATAAATTGAATGCTGGTATCTTTAGTTATAATTTGTCAAACTGAACCTCAACATAATTAACATATATAATTTTCAAAGTAAGCAAGCTAATGAACAGCAATGAGCAGAAATATGCAGATAAAATACTTTTAGCAATCACAAAACCACATAACTCCATAAAGTATGTAATGAAATTAATCAAAGATTTGGGCTGCTTTCCCAGATACTAAACCAATGAAGGAAACCTCAAAGATAACAGCAAAGCACTGATTTCTGAGGAAAAAAACTTCATAAAAAAGAATCTAACTATGAGATAACATAAACTCCAATGACACATTTAGCACTATACTTGACACTATATAATAAAATCTTATTTCAAAACAATTTCAATAAACTATGGCAAAAATAAAACAAAATTATATTTAAGTGAAAAATCTTTAAAAAATTTCTGGCTAGGACTTACGGCATTAATAAAAATGAACATACTAGCCACTCTAAATTTCTTACTTCAAACTGCACCTTGATTTCTGGATAAATAAATGCAGGATTGATAAAGGTCAATTAATTCTTTTATACGGAATGGGAGAAAAAAAAGCAATAGTAAAATTCAAAATTTTGCAAGAAACAAAAAACAGCACAAAAACTGTTCTCAATCTTAGTTATCTATTAAAAAGTTGGACTTACTTAAAATCACAGATAAATCTAATGATTTCGCAACTAGCACCATCATTAAATGCTTTTTATTTCAAAGATAATTATAGTAAGAAAGATCTAATTACATATGCAAACATGAGACATCAAACTGGACTCAAAAGGAACTCAAGGCATGACAAGAAATGCTTATTGAAGGAAGAAATCTATTATGGTTAATATATTTGCGAATAACTTGAAAAATAAAGAGATCCTAAAAGAAAAAAAGATGTACTAGAGAAAGAGAACAGAAGTTGAATTAAACAATTTATTAGCAAGTATTACGGATTGCTACCTTTAAGTAATAGAGAGATAGGCTTTGGATTCTACCTGAGTGACCTGTTCCATTTTCACAAAGAACACTTGGGAAAAGGTGGGTTACATCTTCAAAGCCTGAAAAGTACCGTGTTTTCCCGAAAATACAACCTGTCCTGAAACTAAAGCCCTGTCACATTTTTCGTGTGGGCAAAAATATAAGCCTACTCCCAAAAATAAACCCCCTGGACAAACCCCCACCTCCGGCCAGGCAGAGCACCGCTCACCGACATAGCTGTATCCTGAAGGCACCAAGCCGCAGGAGCCGGGGGGGGAGAAAGGCACTCACATTGCTTGCCGCCTTCGGGATACCGCTAGGTTGGGGAGTGGCGTTCTGCCTGGCCGGAGGGGGGAATTGTCCAGCTCTCCCTGAAGCAGCTGCTGCCACTGCACTCTGGGCATAACGGCTTCTCTGGTTCCAAATTCCCTGCCAAGTCTTCCAGCAGCGACCGCTCTAGGAGTGCATTCTATGGTTGTGGGCTGGCTGCTGGAAGACTCTGTAAGAGTCTTCTGGACAGAGAGTCTTCCAACAGCCAGCCCACAACCATAGAGCACACTCCTAGAGTGGCCGCTGCTGGAAGACTCGGCAGCAGAGTTTGGGAGTTTGGAACCGGAACTGGAAGACATTATGCTCAGAGCGTGGCGGTGCCTGCTGCAGGGAGAGTTGGGCCTGGACATGTTGAGGATAGGAGGCATGCCTGCTGGGGGCGGAACAGCAACCCCCTTCTCCAGCCTGGCAGAGCTCCATGCACTGACCTAGGGGGTATCCCTAATGTGCCAAGCTGCGGGAGCTGGGGAGTGGGCAGAGCACCACGTGGCTTGGTGCCTTAGGGATACCCCCTGGGTCAGTGAATGGCGCTCTGCCCAGCTGGAGAGGGGGTTTGCCGGGCGGTTGCTCGTGAGCTTGGTCACCTCATGGCTGCTTCGCCCCTGAGGCTGTGCCCGGCTCTTCGGGAGCCAGTTCACAAGGGAGCAGCTGCCCAGCAACCCCAAAACAATAAGCCCTCCCCTATAATAAGCCCAAGTCCATATTTTGTAAGTAAAAAGAAAATAAGACTCTGTCGTATTTTGGGGGAAACACAGTAAACATTTGGCATATATCTTGCCAGTCTCATCAGGAAGGCATTAAACTAAAAAAAAAAGGGGTGACAAAGGCCCAGAACATATACTCAGCCAAGAACTGGGGTCAATAAAGTAGAATGCAAAGGGAGAAGCAAAAGGACAAGACTGGGACTCTGAATTTCACAGAAAACTAAAACAGTAGGTGGTGCCACTCAAAACCTCAGTTTTCTACATCAATGCCCAGAAGATATAGAATTAAAGAGATTGCTAAGGAGAAATATGATGTGACACTATATATGTGAAATTTGATGTAATAATACTTGTAACTAGTGCATGCCAATGGAATGGTACAAGTTACCATATTTTTGGAGTATAAGATGCACCAAGGTTTTGAAGAGGCAAATTTTAAAAAAGTAGATAGGTAGGTAGAGGGATAGAGAGGGAGAGAAATACAGTAGGTAGGTAGGGAGAGAGAGAGAAAGAAAGGGTAGGTAGGTAGGTAGATGTTTCCAGATGTATTTATCCATGTGCTGGAGAAGGAAATATAAGAGCCAAGGTGGCGCAGTGGTTAAATGCAGCACTGCAGGCTACTGCTAGATCAGCAGGTCAGCGGTTCAAATCTCACCGGCTCAGGGTTGACTCAGCCTTCCATCCTTCCGAGGTGGGTAAAATGAGGACCCAGATTGTTGGGGGCAATATGCTGACTCGCTGTAAACCGCTTAGAGAGACCTGAAAGGCCTATGAAGCGGTATATAAGTCTACTGCTATTGCTATTGCTAAATCGCTGACAATCTGCAGCACTTGATCAACGTAATTCTCATCAATCAGTTAAAGAGCTTTCCAAAAGGGGAAAAAAGATTTTGCACTCTGCAAACCTCCCAAAAACAGACTGTTTTTTGCGAAAATGGGTCCGTTTAAAAAAAAAGGCATGAATAGTTGGGTGGGGGGCCGCAAAACTGAGCAAAAAAAGGCCCGTTTTTTTGCAAAAACGAGCCTAGTTTTTTTTTCCAAAAAAATTGCATGCATAGCCTTATGGAGGCTTATAGAGTGCTGCTGGGGACTGGGGGGCAAAAAATGGCCCGTTTCTTACTCATTTCTGCCCTCCCCAGCCCCCAGCACCTCTCTGAAAGCCTCCATAAGGCTATGCATGGCCATTTTGATGAAGGGGCGGGGCTTCGGGAGGCAAAAAAATGCTGTATTCAGTGTATAAGACGCACCCAGATGTTCAGCCTTTTTGAGGAAAAAAGGGATATCTTATACTCCGAAAAATACGGTATTTTAAAGGATCAGAATCAATAGAGTGCTGTCTTGCATGTAAAGTATACTTGCACAGAAACTCAAGAATCAGTAGAATTTTTAGTGGATTCCCTATAGCAATCGGTATTCTCTGAAAACTTGCTTTGAATTGCAGAAACAAAAGAGAAAAGAAATTAAAATATATTGCTAGGTTCTTGAAGAGAGGTTAAGGTTCAAAAATGTCATTATGTTGTTACACTATATTCCCAAAACTTGGAATTTCTAAATTATATGGAAAATATTTGGACAGATATGCCTGGAGGGTACAAAGCAGATGATAATAGATTTCGGAAAAATGATTATCTTTTACTAGAAGGAAACCTCTGAGGACTCAAAACATGCCTAAATAGCAAGAGCTTTCCATTTATTAAATCTGGATCCAAATCCAACTTTTTTTTTTGTTTGGAGAAGAAAGTATTATGCTCCTCCCCTTTTTTTGCAATAATATTTTCAACTTGAGTTTTTCCTGATTTCTAAAACACGTCAACTGGTACAAAAAAATTAGAAGCCTTACTTTAATAGTCTCCGATTGCATCACAGGGGCTGGCATGGCTATGGCACTTGGAGCATAAACTTGGTGATATGCTGCTTGAACTCCATGATCAGTATATGGCTGGTAGGCAAACAAATATTTCAACTTCTTTTTAGAATTAAATATATCTTCAGTATATGAACAACAATCAAAATTGGATTTTCAGTTTAAACCCTTTTTCACATTCTACTAAGCTAGAAGTCAACTAGTCAACTTCACTGATTCTAGTCTTAACATTCTGCCCTCCAAATTTACATTCTTTTTAATTTTATCATCATGCAACTTGGGTTAGTCTTTTGGACTGGAAAGCAGATTTGGAATTCTATGAAAATATTCTTTGCGTTTCAATAAATTGATTACATGTGGGACAGGGAAGCTTGCCTATGTGGTGAGAGCTGCATTGTCACTTTTTATTAGAACGTAAAAATTTTCTGCATTCTATCCAGCAGCTCTGGTTTATCTCTACCATTTTTTTAAGGGAAGAAAATACTTGAAAAACTCTGGTGTAATCACCCAGCAGCTTTATTTTCTACAAAAGCCTGTATATTTATATAAACAACACCTAGAAGCATTCTTGTTAAAAAAAAAAAGGAAGGTTGAGGCGTAAACAAATGACTGCAAATCTCTCTGCAGTCAGTCAATTGTTCTCTTGACTTCATCTTTAAGTTCTTCATGTTCCCGCATTTGGTATTTTAACCATTTTTCTTTGTCCATTGTTTCTTAAAATGTTTCTTGTGCTGAGACCAATGCATACAAGATGGGCTTTTATTTATTCCAAATGCTTAAAATGACACTTCTCACATAATGATTTAAAATCTACATTAATTTTTAGTTTGTTGTGCCACCTGAATCTCAGGTTATATATTTCTTTTTGTAACATTTTCTTACTTCTCAGCAATACCCACTCTTTCAGCCAAATCAAATCACTCCCTCAAAATACAGTTTGAAATCAGCAATCCTTCTCCCCCCATCTTTTATACATTATATGTTATACATTACATATATATGTATGTATATGTTTATGTATGTATGTGTGTGTGTGTATATATATGTATGTATGTATGTATGGTGTCACACCCCCTGGTCTGCCTATATATGTGTGTGTGTGTGTGTGTGTGTGTGTGTGTGTGTGTGTGCACACACACACACACACACACA